CCCCCCCCCCCCCCCCCCACCTCACAAACAAAACAAGCGAACCTAAAGCATCTTGGGTCTAAACAATTGAAATCAGAGACCTAAGAGTAACACCCTTCCGGAACCCTTATAAGACCCCCGAACCCCTAAATCCCTTAAGAGGAGCCCTTGAAGGACCCTTTAAATCCCGCAAAAGAGCCCCTCAAGTCATTCAGATCCTGTAACATACACCTTTCCTTCTCAAGGACTCTACGACCCCCACTAGAGACTACCATCCCATACCCCAAGCCTGAAACCTTTTGAAGGAGCCCCATAGCTAAGATCCGTTAAAGAAGCCCTTTCAAGGCCCCACCCTTTTGACCCCTCTAAGGATCCTCTAAAGGATCCCCCTAAACTCTAAACCCCTTCTAGGATCCTTAACCCTATAAACCCTAAACCCTAAACCCCTTGTAAGATCCTGAACCCTAAACCCTAAACCCCTTGTAAGATCCTGAACCCTAAACCCTAAACCCCTTGTAAGATCCTTAACCTAAACCCTAAACCCCTTCTAGGATCCTTAACCCTAAACCCTAAACCCCTTGTAAGATCCTTAACCCTCAACCCTAAACCGCTTGTAAGATCCTTAACCCTAAACCCTAAACCCCTTGTAAGATCCTTAACCCTAAACCCTAAACCCTAAACCCTGAACCCTAAACCCTAAACCCTTTAAGATCCTCTAAAGGAGCCCCTCAACGGACCCCCCCGGGGCCCCGAACTGGAGATCTGGCTTTACCTCTCCACGCCGCTGTGGGAGACCGGGGGAGAGACTCACCTGAGCGGCAAATCTAGGGGTTTAGGGTTTTTCTTTAGAGGGTTTAGGGTTTAGGGTTTTGGGTTTAGGGTTTAGGGTTTAGGGTTTAGGGCTTTGGGTTTAGGGTTTAGGGCTTTCGTTTAGAGGGTTCCTACATGATTTAGGGCTTTCCTTTTAGAGGGTTCCTACATGTAAGGTTGAGGGCTTTCCTTTAAAGGGCTCCTTGTGAGATTTAAGGCTTTCCTGTAGAGGGTTCCTTGTAGGGTTTAAGGCTTTCCTGCAAAGGGTTCCTTGTGAGATTTAGGGCTTTCCTGTGAAGGGTTCCTTGTAGGGTTCAGGGCTTTCCTTTAAAGGGCTCCTTGTGGGATTTAGGGCTTTCCTGTAAAGGGTTCCTTGTAGGGTTTACGGCTTTCCTCTAAAGGGTTCCTTGTGAGATTTAGGGCTTTACTTTAATTAGAGGGTTCCTTGTGAGGGTTGCTTTAAGGGGTTCCTCGGGAAGCGTTACCACAGGGAGGTGTACAGGGCTCAGGGATTGCAGGCTATGACGCTCCACCCTCGCCCGGTTCGCAGATCAGAAGCATGGGCGTCCGGGAATGACACAGTTGAAGCCTTACCCGGCTCCGCCGAAACCATACAGCCCTAAAGCATAAACCCTAAACCTAGGAGGCTGTGGATTCTTGAATTTGCTTAGGGTGTCTAGGGTTTTGAGGCTATGTAGGGTTATGCTTAGGCTTTCCACTATCCCCTAAACCCTAAACCCTAAACCCTAAACCCTAAACCCTAAACAGCAACTCAATCACACACAGACACACTCAACCATGAGTTCCAAAGCCTTAACCCCAAACACCTTGTCTCAAGTTCCCGTGACAACCTACCCATAGGCCCCATAGTAGCTCCTTTTTGGGATTACCTTATAGGATTCTAGATATGAACCCCAAAAAGGAACTACTATGGGGCCGATGGGTCGACTCCAGGCCTCACCAAGTATGTCTTTACTGCCCTTAGAGATCCCAGTATCTGTCAGACCACAGCTATCACCGGAGCACCTAGACCCGCTACATAGAACCCAAAACCCTAAACCCTAAAGCCCTACAACCAAAACCCCAGAAGCCCTGACACCCGAAACCCTAAACCTGAAAACTGAACCCTAAAGCTAAAAGCCTACACCCTAAAGCGCGTAATCCTAAATCTATAAAACCCAAACCTAAACGCCAAACCCTACACCCTATAAAACCTCAGCCAACCTTAAAACCCTGAACCCTAAAACCTAAACCCTATAAAACACTGAACCCCAAAACCTAAACCCTCAACCCCATAAAACCCAACCTAAACCCCACACCCTAAAGCCTAAACCTTATAGACCCCAAACCTAAACCCCAAACCCTACACCCCGAAAGCCTAAACCCTATAAAACCCCAAGCCTAAACCCCAAACCCTAAACCCCTAAAGCCTAAACCCTATAAAACCCCAAACCCTAAACCCGAAAAAACCCAACCCCAACCCTAAGCCCCAAAGCCTAAACCCTAAACCTCTGAGGCCCCAACGATCACCTCGAAAGCATCTCTCGCCTGCGCAGCTGCCCAGAGAGCCCAACACGCTTTAGGTCTATAGGGCTTCGGGTTTAGGGCTCAGTGCCTCTAGGGCTTAGGGCCTATAGGGCCTATAGGGTTCAGGGTTTGGGCCTGTGGGGCTTAGGGTTAAGGGCTTGGGGTTAAGGGTTTAGGGTTTGGGGCTTAGGGCCTATAGGGCTTAGGGTTTGGGGTTTAGGGCTCAGGGCCTATAGGGCTTAGGGTTTAGGGCTTAAGGTTTATTTAGAGTTAAGGGTTAAGGGTTAAGAGTTTAGGGTTTCGGGCTTAGGGCCTATAGGGCTTAGGGCTTTGGGTTTAGGGTGTAGGACTTTGGGTTTAGGGTTTAGGGCTTATAGGGCTTAGGGTCTATAGGGCTTAGGGTTTAGGGTTCAGGGTTTAGGGCTTAGGGCCTATACGGCTTAGGGTTCAGGGTTTAGGATTTCGGGCGTTTAGGGCTTCGGGTTTAGGGCTTAGGGTTTAGGGTCTAGGGCTTAGGGTTCAGAGTTTAGGGCTTAGGGTTTTGGGTTTAGGGTTTTGGGCTTAGGGTTTAGGGTTTAGGGCTTGGGGCTAAGGGTTTAGGGGCAACCCTTTCAATGGCTTGGAAACGGGATCTTGTGTCGCTTAAAGCCCCGGGTAATAAAGGCTCCATAAGGGTTTACTAGAGGGGTGATTATTTTGCGGGTTTGACATACTTGTTATTCAGATCCCTATCTTATTGCCAGGGATTTAAATCTGAAGATCTGAAGATTACGTGACCGGCACTTGAAGACCTAAGCCCTGAGCCCTGAACTCAACGCCTCTATCGGCAAAGCCGAGAGGGGGCTTTTGCAAAAAGGAGCCTTTTCGGGATTCAGGTTGCGGTTTAGGGTTTAGGGTTTGGGGTCAACAGGGTTGGTGAAATCGGGCGCCTACCAGCAAAAGGCCAAGACGATCGAGGTGGCTGCTCAAAGGGGATGTTTTGCAAGACATCTCTAGACCCTCACACGGTGGCAACCGGTCTCAATAAATGGTGACTTTGCGCTTTTAAACTGTAACTCTGAGACTCTACATAAAATCAAAACCCCAAACCCAAAGCTCTAAACGCTAAACCCAAAACCCCAAAGCCTACTAAACTCTAAACCTAAAATCCTGGACGCCTTGTTGAGGTCAGCCATGAAATCTTCGACGGAGTCTGGGTAAAGACCGGACCTCAACGTGTGTTCAGGGTTTTGGGGCATTGGTTCTTGTTTTCAGGGTTTTGGGCTTTGGGACTGCTTGAACCCTACAGAACCTACCATTTTGTGGCGCTCTGTATTGTGATTTCCATAATAGATCAACCTGCAAAAAGGTGTGGTTAGTTCAGGCTTCGGGACTAAGCATGAGACGTGGGGCGCATGTTTGGGGGGTTTCGTTAAGGGTTTAGGGTTTAGGGTTTTGGAGGTTCGTAGGGGGGTTTCCGTTCGATTTCGTACGGGAGGAGCGTTCCCCTACCTGGACCCGTGATGTAGGCACTGCTAGAGGTACCGTATCCAACGACATAGTTGCACAATCTTCGTCAAAGTAGAAGCAAAACTGCGAATGCAACATGTATGGGGGCAGAAGAAATCTCAGTAGAACAGGCTTGTGTGGTACGACAGTACCATTTCTAATTTGTTTCAGCCAGCTAATCACATTAATAACAGGCTAAATGTGTAAGACATCCCTTCACTCACACTAGGTAGGATTTCGGATTTAGGATTCGCGCCTTGACCGCCTTAAGCGTATTGAAAGCCCAATAAGCATAATCTCCGCCAAACCCTAAACCTTAAAACCCTACCTGAAGTCCTGGCCTCCAACCCTAAACCCTGTAACCACCAGTAGCAACCTATATGCCCCTAAACCTTAATCCTACCTGTAATCGAAAAGACCTACCTTTTTCAGGGTTCCTGATTATGGCTCCTTAAGCAGGTAAATCTTTTGACCCTAAACCCTAAACCCAAACCCCTAAACAGGTAAGGCATGGCCCTCAACCCCTGGAACTCTTAAAGCCGAAACGCTACACACCCGAAACACCTACCCCCACAAGCACCAAGACAGGTTTAGGGTTTAGGGTTTAGGGTTTAGGACCACCCAAACCCGTAAAACCCTCAACGCCAAAACCTGTCAAAACCCCCAAACCCCTGAATCCTAAGCCCTAGATCCCAATACAACACTTACAGTGACCATTTCAAACAGCCATAAAGCAACCCTTTCAAGGAATTACAAGGACCCCCGAAACTTGGAGGCGTCATAATACACGGACTTTAGAGTTATGATTCCCCAAGGACTGCGCCCAACCACAAAAATGTCTCCCAGAAACTAATCCCTGAATCTGTTTCGTCCAACAGAGCCAATATGGAAACCTGAATGGACCCTAAACCCTAAACCCTATTCCCTAGTTACAATCATGCCCCAAAACCCAAATAATGTAGGGGCCTTAATACCAAGTAGAATGGGGTTTGGGGGGTTCCTTATTATGATTATAGTAGAATTATCCCCAAACCCCATTCGAATCATTACGGCCCCTATAGTCTACAAACCTCAGGGCACTTCGAAAAGTTTTGCACGACAACGGTCCGAGTTAACGGCAGTCCGCCCGAGCCCACCGCAGTGAAATCCTCCTGGCGGCATGTCTTCCAGGGCTGGGGGAGGGGGGGGGAGAGGTTTAGGGTTTACCTAGACTCTCCACTGTAGTTCCTTTTTTTGGTTTAACCAATTCTATGTTAAGGATCCTAAAAGGTAACCCCAAAAAGGAACTACAATGGAGACTATAGGTAGGGGTTGAGGGCTTAGAGTTTAGTGGTTTGGGGCTTATAGGGTCTCCGCAGTTGCGGGTTTAGAAGCTATAGCGGTTTAGGGTTCAGGGGTTTCAGGTGTCTAGGATTCTATTATTCGCGGTTTACAGGGTTTACTTGTTCAGGGCTTCAGCGCGGTTCAAGCCTAAACCCGATGAATCCTACACCCTTTAGGTGTTTAGGGGTTTTGGGCTGCAACAGCCTCCAAGTTTCAAGACCCCACCCTTGATAAGTCGTCAGTACGTTTCAGTAACGGCTTCATACGGGTTGATATGTGTGTGTTTTGTTTTTTTATTGGGCTTCTGAAGGTTTTAGGGGTAAGGGTTTAGGGTAGGCTTGATGCGGGTTTGTTTGTGTTCGGCTGGGCTTGAAGAAAGGCTTTATATGCTCCTGGTGCATCAAACAGGCTTCCTGACAAAGACCTTGAAGTACGACTGAGCTTTGAATTGAAGAGGTGTACCTTCGATGATATGACGCAAACCCTACACCCTAAAATGAAGCATCCATCTGGATAGTTCTCTAAAGTAGGGTCCCTTTTTTAGGTCCCCGTTGTAGTACGGCACCCTTATGAAAGGACCCTAAAAGGGGACCCTAATTTACAACTACCCATCTGGAGTTTGAGGGACGTGGCTTGCTTTAGGGGTGGGTGAGTCTCTGGTTTAGCAGGGGTCGGATTTGCGAGGTCAGAGTTGTGTAGAACTCATATGGCATAAGGCGGTCGCCTACTGAGAAGCTCTCAATATCTTAAGATGGGGTTCTGCGTTATAGGTTTTAGAGCTATGCGGATTTAGTTTAGTTACACAATGCCTAGACGCAGTGCTTGTACACAACCCCCGAAACCCTGAACCCTCCGCCGGAACACGGAAAACACGCAGTTCGCCTGCATACCAGTCGCTGCAGGAAATTCCGGGATGTGCCTCGGCCCATGCAGGGGAGATTTTTCACGGGGTTAGGGTTTCGTGTTTAGGTGTTGAAAGGCTTAGGGTTTATGGCTTTAGATCAGGATGCCGCGCCGAATCGACACAGATCTTGTCCTGTCAAGCTATTTGCAAACAGAAATTCGCGGAATCCATCCGAAGAGCTGTGTCAGACTAGAATCAAAACGTGCTGCATGGTGCCGGAAACTGCCACAACAGTTTGACATTGCATGGAAACATGTCTACCCAAACTCGCCAGGAGCGAACAGCATGAAAGCCTCCGACAGGATTTCGTGAGGTCCCTAAACCCTAAAGCCAAAACCCT